GGGCATTCGGGCACCTGGAAGGTGGCAAAGCAGGTGCCAGGGGCCAGAGGAAGACTCTAGGTGATGACGTGTTACAGTGAGCAGTGAGCCCCAGCATGGTTAGCATGGGGAGGTGTGGTGGGGTCCTGCCAGCGTTGGTCACGGGGCAGTTCAGGGAGAGAGGACAGCCTGTGAAAACCCAAGGAGGCTGAGGTAGGACCAGCAGAGACAAGGAAGGGCTGGGAGGAGGGATGGCAGGGATGGCTGCCAGGGGCTCAGAGGACCAGGACAGGTGTCTGTGTAGGCAGGGTGCTGCTCAGCCCAAGAAGAGTGGGCCACCGGTTCCCTAGGGGGCCCAGCCAGGCCACACCTGGCCTCTCTTACTGTAGTCATGCACGGTTGCGCGCACAAAGCTGCCGTTGGCCTGGGCCAAGGTCTCGTTGGGTGAGTGCTCTACTCGGAAGGTCTGGAGGGCCCAGGCGTCCCCAGGGAGCAGCGTGCTTGTGTACCGTCTCAGGAGCTCCCCGGATGCTGGCACCACGTCTGCATCGAAGACACGTAGTGTGGCCACCACTGTGCCCTGCAGAATATGGGCGCATAGTGCCAATCAGAGCTGCTAAAGCCAGAGGCTGTGCAGGAGGCAGGTACTCCACAGATGGACAGACTGACCTGGGTTCAAGTTCTCGTGGGGCCCCTAGCCAGCCTGGCTGAGTTACCCTTCCTGGGCCACTGTGCCTCACCTGTGCAACAGGTGTGAGAGGCATCTACAGAGTTCCCATAAGAATGGATTAGAGCAGATGCCCTGGGGCTCTGCTGAATACCTCATCCACGTGCCCATAAAGCAGAGCAGTGGCACCCCCACTACCCCCTGAGGAAGCAGGGCCCCACAGGGTGGAGGAGTTAGCTCACTGTCATAGAGAGTCATGGCAGAGCTGGGATCTACACCCAGGTGTCCACCAGAATGCTCTCCTTTAAGCATCCTCTGTCCACCAGGCTGGAGAGGGGCCGGAGGAAAGTTCTGAGCAGTCACAGGGCATCTCTGCTCTCGCTGCTAACCAAGACTCTGCAATGTCACCACAAGGTGACCCTGCCAGGCTCATGAGACATTTCACTACGAGATGTGCTTTCCTCCAGCCCACCCGTCTACTAAATCTGCTCCTGGAGCGCCCAGAGAAGCAGGCAATGACAACATACTATGTCCCCGTCCTGCCATTGCTCCCGCTGGCTGGCTATAGCTGCAGGATAGCCCGATACCCAGCAGGTGGCAGCCACGCTCCAGAGTAGGGCGGGGCCGCGATGGGCGGGGCGACGCAGGGAGGTCCCTGCCGGATCCGCTTGCTTGTCTTTCTCCACTCCCGGGTATCCTCCATGAATTTCAGTGGCCCTCCCTTTAGGGGCTGACAGCCCGTGGAAGAGCGTGCCCTTCCGGGAGATGTCCTCTCCCCCTCCTCCCGGCAGTGCGCCCCGCCTGCGCAGCGGCACAGCTGCGCCTCTCAGAGGTGAGACCTGGGGATTCTCCCGCAGCGTCAGACACAGGCTGGGCACCCAGGGCCTCCAGCCTCCCAAGACAGGGGCCAGCTGGGTGCTGGCGGGGCTGGCCACCTCTCTCCTCCTTAGCTGTCCTGGAGGGCGACAGAAAACCCCGACAGACTGAGGGACAAATGAAAGACGAATAACTAGACGACTGGTCAGCCGCGTGTCTGGATTTACAGCTGAGCCGACCAAGGAATAAATGGCGGATGGAGAGACCTAGACAAGAACAGACAAGACGACAGACGGCAGACAAGCACATGGGCGGGCGGATAGGCACCTCCTTCCGCTTGAACTCCACTACGGCGCTGGCGGTGTCGACGCCCCCGAGGAAGGTGGGCGCTGAGTCGTCCTCGTCGTACACAGTCACGGGGAAGGGCACCATCACCTCCTCGTCGCGCGCGCCGACGCGCACGCTGCACACGGCCACCAGCTCATACTTCTCCCGCTGCTCGCGGTCCAGGGCCCAGCGCGTGCTCACTTCCAGGCTGTCCGGAGCGCAGCGGAAGGGCAGGCTCTCACCTGTGCACCAAGCAGACCAGGGACCCCGGGATGACCCTCGGGCTGGGGAAAGGGTGAGCTGCCTTCCTCGGGGGCCCGCCAGGAGTGGCGGCACGGGAAGCGGCTCTGTGGGCAGGGCTGGGGTGCATGCTGGCTCCGGGCCCTGCTCTAGTACTTCTCCTCAGCTCCACAGTGGGGCAGTTTGCAGTGAAGACTGCACTGAGCTTCACTGTGGCTGCAGCTTTCACTAGTGCTGCTGGGGAGGGGCAGGACATGGTGGCCTCCATCAGGTCCTCATCCTGATCACCTAGGGAGGGCTGGCACCAGCTCAGCCAGGCTGCAGGCCGAGATTTAGCTCCCAGCATTTGCTGGTTTTTGAAAACAGTTGGAAATTGTTTTTTTAATTATGGAAGCAATATGTGCTCATTTTAGTGAATGTGAAGAATAAAGCCACCATTCCATCACTTAAAAACAAACACAGTGGACATCTGGTATGATTTTATGATAACATAAATATTTAATATTTATGACTGGTTCAAATCCCTGTCCTAAACACCTTTTGGCTGTGTGGCCCAAAGCTGGTCATTCTGTCTCTCTGTGCCTGTTTCCTCACCAGAAGATGAGGTGACAAGGGCTAAAGTGTCTGTTCCTCTCCAGCAGTATATTCAGCGACTCACGTATATTCCCACAAACCAGGGAGGCGGGAGCCAGTAACAACACACTCTTCAACCCAAGCCTGTCCTGGAATTCATCCTGTAGAAAGGGGAAATGCTGAAGGCTTGAGGGTCACACCAACCACCCCACAGTCAACCACAGGAGGGTCACATCAAGTCCACTCGGTGGGAAATCACATCAGGGAATCAAACGTGTGGCAAGTGCTTATCATATAATGTTTCCCTCTATTGTTTATGGTTATAAAAAACGCTCAGCAAAATTTATAAAAATTTTAGCGAAAAAGCGCAGCACACTAAACCAAGTGCTTTGCAGGCAATCATGCACAAAAACATGGCTGCTGCAGGGCAAGTGGAAGGATGCTGGGGGAGCATGAGTGACTACTTTTCTTTCTTTATTGAGATCTTTAACATTATCACCGTGTGTGTGCCATCAACCTGGCGTGAATCCAGGTTCTACTTACTAGCAGTCCAGTTAGTAAGTGTCCCTTTTCAGTCCCAGTTCCTTGCCTTTAAATGGCTTAATGGCACCTCACACGTGGCCGCTCAGCTGCCTTCTCTCATCTCTGCTGGGATCCAGCTCCCCAACCCCCACGCTCTTGGCCTCCCCAGAGCTGTCTGGTGGCAAGGTCCACTGTCCCTGCAGCTGCTCAGGCAGAATCCTGGAATCCATGCTTGGTCCCCTCTTACTTTCAACATCCACATCCAACTCCCTGGAAAATCCTGCTCGATCTTCCTTCAGAACACACCCAGAACCTGTCTACTTCTGGTTGCCCAGTGGCTTCCATCCTCATCCCTGTCTTCATCCTCTTGTTCAAAAACTTCTCCTGTAGCCTCCTATTTCCCCACTTCCCCCCTATACCACTCACCCCCAAATCATTTCTAACACAGCAGCCAGACTGATCTTTTAAAGGTTAAGTCAGGTCCTGTCAATGACCCTCCTCATTCACCTTCCATGACTCCCCTGTTCCTTACCTGGAAGCCCCTTCCCAGGAACTTCTCGGCCCTCAGTAGCCTCCACTCTCCCACTGTTCACTGTACTCCAGCTACACAGGGGTCCCACCTCCGTGCTCTCGAGGGGCTCACCCTGATTGCCTGGTACCCTCCTGCCTTTGCTGTAGTTCCCTCTTTCCCCGCCACCTGACTTGGGACAGCGACCTCCACCACCCCCGCCTTCTCAGCTTTATTTCCCACCGAGTCCCTTCAGAGGCCACTCGATTTCCTTAGCATGTGTGTGGTCTCCATTTCCCATGGGAAAGGAGGCTCCAGGCAGGCGGGATTCTGCTCTGATTTGTTCACTGTCAAATCCTTGGTCCCTGGAACACTGCCTGGCCATGGCACGCATACAAGAGATACTCCTGGACTTCTGAATGAGCAGATGATGTGCTGGTGGAGACTAACCAGGAAGGCTCGGGCCGAGAGACTGCAGCGCCGTGCCTGGCACTCACCTCCCAGGAGCCTGTAGGCCACGCTGACATTGGGGCAGAGGAACTGCACAGGCAGCAGGCGGAACTGATGGAAGGTGCCAGGAGGCCTGTTTTCCCTAATGCGGAAGGACAGGCCTGTCTCGGGGAAGCAGAGCTCCCGGGGTTTGAGGGCGCCACAAGCTGGAAAGGAGGCGTTGATGAAGGAGAAGTACACTCGGGCACAGCCCGGCCATTGGCACTCGCCCTCGCGAAGGGACGCTGGTGACAGGAAGACCTGGAGGTAGACGGTGAGCAGGGGGAAGCCGCCGTCTGCAGAGAGACAAGAAGTCAGTCCTGCTGGGGGTGTCACCTGCCAGGAGGTGGGGCACAGAGCCAGAAGGGGGCAGGAGCAGCTGGGCTGGTAGATCCCAGTCCTCACCAAGGTCCACAGGGCTCCGCCAGGCTCTCTGCCCTGGCCTGCCACCTCCCCCTCGCCCCCTACTGCCCTGGACCTGGGGTCCGCCTGCCTCAGGGCCCTGAACTCCTGTTCCCTCAGCCTGGGGGGGGGGTACTTCCCAGGCCCACCTCTCTTGTTACTCAGGTCACAGCTCAAATGCCTTTCTGCAAGGAGGTGTCCTGAGCCCTGGGCCTAGCACCAGATGGAGCACTTCCCGGGGCGGGGGGGTTCCTGGCCACATGTGGGGACCCTCCGAGGAGTTTCATTGTGGACGCCTCTGCAGACACACAGAATTCCCTAGAAGCTAGGGAGGAGATTTCTGGCAAGTTCCATCATGGAGGCACCATAGCAACTCTCCCTCCAACAGGCCTGGATCTCAGCTGGGCGGGGGCCTCTTCCTGGGCCCTCCCTCGCAGCCCTAGGGAAGCGGCTGCCTCACACATCCCACATTCATTAGTTCTCTGTGCTTCATACTAGCCTCTCCATTCCTCCAGTGTCCTGCTGCAGTTAATAATTCTCCATACAAACTTTCCCTGTCAAATTACTGTGATTTCTCTCCTGACTGGGACCTGACAGGTGCCTGAGGCTGCTCTCCAATCATGAACGGGACAGGCCTCCTATTAACTCCGACCCTCAGCAAATTCCACTCTGGCCTCCACGCCAGTGACCCTGGTTCTTCAACTCCCCACTAGGGGCTTGCAATGAAGAAGGTGGCAACTAAGTATGTGCGGAACCAAGACCCATCTCCAGGAGCCAACTGGGGAGCCCTGGGAGGGGCATCTTTACTTGGGGACCCTGGCTTTATTGGCAGATGGGTACGGTCATTCTCTTCCTGCTGGGCAGGGCCACCTTCTCTGCATTCGCAGGCATGCCACCTGCCTCTGCTCAGCACATGGGAGCTCAGGGCTGGGGTGAGGCTCTACTGACGCCAGGTCTCTGTAGGAGGCACTCATTGCAGGGAGCTACTGGGTGTGTGATCACCATGTTGTGCCATGAGTCAAAATTCTGCTCCACAGCCCCCCTCCACCAAGGTACCAAGGTCACATGTGGCCTTCACTCTAGCTCGGAGCCCTGCTCTGTGGAGCTGGCTGGGCCCTCCTCCTGCTCCACTTTGCTCCCTGGGACCAGGCCCAAGTCCCCACTGGGTGCCAAGGGCAGCTTGCTGCTGATGGGGAGCATGCTATCTGTGGGAACTGCTGCTTCTCCAGCAAGTTCCAGATCATCTGTTAAATCAGGATCTTGGGGGTGTTTATAGCCCCTCTTAAGTCCTCTCTCACAATCCCAAAGCCTTGTTAACCCAACTGGAAAAGGCATCTGGATCCAGCCTGGAGAGAGCACCCAAGTCCTTCACGTGGGTTCTCCAAAATCCTGACAGCCTCAGAAGGCCCAAGGGCCCTTAGGTGGCTCCCTCACCAGGCTGGACACAGAGGCGGGCTAGCCTCATCTCACTCCTTCCACTCTCGCACGCAGGAGCCCTAGGGAGGCCACCCTTGGTGTGACGTGAGTTGCCGGAGGGTAAGACAGGAACAGGCGAAAGTGAGGTGGGTAGGGGGTGAGGTCAGGCATGCTCCCTCACTGCGGATGCTCAGCTTCTCCCAGGAGCTGTGGTCCAGGCTCCGGTTCAGGTAGAGAAGCCCCGTGTCCTCCTGGATGCGGATCCAGTCGTTCTCATGCAGCCGCGTGCGGTAGGCGCCGTAGAGGTGCTGGCCCAGGCGGAAGCTGGGTACCTCCTTGGGGACATCTCGCAGGGCGTGGACGTACAGCAGGGGCGTGCCGGCCGGCTGGTCCACGTACAGCTTCTCCCAGTAAGCATCCCTGGAGAAGTACAGTCCTAGCGGGGCTGCGGGAAGCAGGGGAGCCCGTGAGGGAGGGAGGGACGGTGACGGTGATGCCAGAGCCTGAGCAGGCCTCCCGGGCAGACCAGTGTTCCCCAGCAGCTTTATTTCACACTTGTTAAAATTATACATATATACCAGCAACAAAAACTGAAACATATAGTTTCTTTGTTTTCTTTTTTTTAAACATTTTTATTGCGGTATGATTCCTGTACAGTAAACTACACGTTTCAGACGTACACTTTGATGAATTTTGATAGATGTACACACTCATGAAACTACCACCACAATCAAGACAGCTAACATTTCCATCACTCTGCAGCAGGTGCAAATTTCACATTCCCAATGTATCCCTTTCTGCCCTCTTAACCCCCTGGTAACCATAAGTTTGTTTTCTATGTCTGAGTCTGTTCCTATTTTGTAGGTAAGTTTACTTGTGTCTTTTTTTTAGATTCTACATATAAGCAACATCACATAGTTTTTTTTTCTTTTCCTGACTTCACTTCAAATGACAATCTCTACTTTATAATAGCTTCTTTGTGGACAAAAAAAAATCACTAATTTAAAACTCTGATCTTAGTAGGACTTTCTCATCTGTAGTCCAAAGAACATCAACACGCAATTGCTTGTATAGCAAAACACTCGCTGAAAACACACTGCTTTAAAACAGAAAAAGAAAAAGGAAGAAGTGAGGCAGCACAAAACAGTTGCAAGATCATGCTCCATTACCTGCATCTGATAAGCACGTGAACCACTCAGCTGGGAATTCACGCAGGCTTCTGAGCAAATCACCTGGAGCCAGAGTTTTCAAGTGTACAAGACACTGCCAGACAAGCAGGCAGGCAGGAGTCACCAAAAATGAATAGAGCACTTTTTAAGTAACGAATCTTTATCTAAAGTCAAACACACTCCTACCATATGGGCCAGAAATTCCACTCAATTTATGCAAGAGAAATGAAAACATATGTCCATCAAATGACTTATTCACAAATGGTGGGGTTATTCACAGAGCCAATAAGTGGAAGCAGCCCAGATGTGCTCCAGTGGGTGAAGGAAAACAAACAGTGGTACATCACACCACGGAACCCTATGCAGCAAGGACAGGGCGTGAACTAGTGACACACACGACACCCTGGCTGGACTCACCGACTTTGTGCCATGCAGAAGGGGCAGGCACAAAAGAATCACGTGGCATGATGCTAGACTGATTTCAGGTGACAGAAATCAGACCGGATACCTGTTGGGGGTAGGGGAAGGCAACAGACTGGGAAGGGCAGGGGGCATGTTCTGGGGAACACAGAGGTTCCATATCCTGACAGGGGTGTGGGGCACACAGGCATATCCATTTGTCAACAGTGCATAGCCAAGATTTGTGCATTTCAACATGTGTAAATTTTGCCTAAGATAACCGATCATGAGGAGGGTGGATGCGACCATGGCCTTGCTGGGTGAGCCCACAGGGGCATGCATCCTACTACCCTGTGACTTTGTATATGTTCAACGGTTTTCATCATAAAACGTTTTAAAAAACAGAATTTTTAAAAAAGATGGATAACTGGGCAAGCAATGCTTAGAAACCATTAAAAACCTGTAAATACATCCTACAAAGTACAAAAAATACTAATGCACAAACGTTAGAAATACTGCACTTGTGTGTAATGGATTTCTCTTTTCAGTTTGTTTCCACCCACATCCCACTTCCTTTGCAGCCATAAGCGTGAGTGGCCGGTCCACTCTGCACCAGTAGAGGACACCGGGGGCCACCTGGGGCCACCTGGGGCCTCGAGGACGCAATTGGGCATGGGAAACAATCAGGTGCCAGATGGAGTCAGGGGAAGAGAACAGGTAGGACCTTCTGGGTCCCAAAGTGGTGAAACAGGAAGAAAACAAGAAGGTGGCTTGTGCTGTGGTGTTTCCCAAGGATGACCTCAAAGGCAGCCAGGCTGGGAAGGCCAGTGTGTGTTTCGTCCTGCCCACCCGGAGTGGGTGCTGCCCTGCCAGACACCTGCGCCACGGGAGTGAGGGGGAGAGGGAGGGAGGGGAAAGGGAGAGGGGGATGAGAAAGGCAGAGAGGCAGCCGGTGGTGGGGAGGGGAAGAGAGAGATGCTCTGGCCTCAGCCAAAGCCTGGCCCTGTGCACCCCACACTAAACAAAGAGATGGAGGGACAGGGTCAGACACATAGTGCTGACCTTTTAGGCCTTCAGAAGGTGTTTCCCTAGGAACACTGTCCCTGGAGTGGGACCCAGAGTTACTGGGAAGGGCTTAAAATGCTTAAAAACCATTAAAAACCTGCAAATATATTCTACAAAGCACACACACACACACAAATACAGCACTAAAGCAAACATTAACATAGCACAAAGCAAACATTAGCAATACTGTACTTGTGTGTAACCGATTTCTCTTGTCAATCCGTTTGTTTCCACCTATATCTGGCTTCCTAGTACAGGGCTAGGACCTCCAAGGAGATGGCTCTGTGCCCTGAGCCAGACTCTGTGCTGTGGCCTTCCTGCCTCATGGGGGAGGATCCACCCCAGAATGTCACACAGCTTGCCATCCGAGCGGGAGGCGGCTCAAAGAGCCCCGTGAAGCAATCAGGGCAAGTCTGAGGAGGGAGCGCTGAGACCCTGTTTCCCTTACCTTGAGGTCCCACTGGCAGAGACCAACTAGGCAGAGCTGCCCCTATGGGGCTGAATGTCACCCGCCTCTCCCCACTGGCCAAGAGGACACAGGCTACCCCACAGATGCCCTTCAGGGCTGATTTCTTTGGGATTTAGTAGCTGACCCTAGCAGGATGGTAGGCAGCTCAGAGGGCTGTGTTGGCCCCAGTGGCCACAGGCTGGCCTCTTCCCTGATCCTGTTACAGGGCAGCCAGTGGCACCGGCTCAGAGCAGACCTCCTGCCAGCTGGGCCGAGAGTTGGGCCCAGCTGACAGGCCCTCCGTGGATCCTGCACAGCTAAGTCCACTCCACAGGCTCGCACTTCCTGGGAGAAGCATCCACACTCCCAAGGTTTGGGGGCCCAAACAGGACCCTACAACACTGCTCATGGCTGCTCCTGAGGCAAAGGCAGGGGTGCTTCCTGAGGGGTCTCCTCACCCCATGAGAGGGGAGGGACAGCTGCAAAGGGGTCCCCGATGCGGCTTGGCTGCCACCTCCCACCAGGAGTGTGCCATAGCGCCACAGTGCTGCCTGGCAGAGTAACCTGGGTCTGCCCTCCCCAGTGGGACCACCTCACTGAAACCCGAGGGGCTCCCGGCTCAGGGCAGCCCCCGGCCCAGCCCCAGGAAGGCCGAGTCTGGGAAGGCAGACTCAGAAGGGGGATCAGAACCAGGCACAGCCCTGCTGCCCCAGGACACGGGCCCAAATCAGGAGCAGCAACACAACTTCTTTTCCCTCCAAAGTTCCAAGAAGGTTGCGAGTCAGAGGGTCTATGGGGGGCTCTGAAGGTGGGTGGGGGGCTAGGGAAAGGGCCAGGAAGCTGATGCTGCTGCCCCGTAGACAGGCAGAGGAACAGCTCTCCCTTCCCTGGACCACCACCTTCTCCAAGGACTCGGCCCACTGCTGCCTCCTACTGCCTCTCCAAGGTGTGGTATAGGGTGAGCACAGAGGTGGCACCTGCCTCTAACACAGCACAAGGCCAAGCCCCCACGCATACAGTGCCTCCCCGTGTCCTCACAGCCCCAGACGGAGGTGCCGATGGGACCACTGCTTTGCAAACACAGGCACTGAGGCAGAAAAAAAAAAGGTTGTTTGCATGCTCAAGGGCACACACGGACCGCAAGAGAACCAGAATTCATAAAGCAGTCTTTCCAGCAGCACATCCCCCACCAGCCTGCTCTACCCTACATCACAGCAGGCTGGCCTCTGCAGCCACCGTGCCCTCGGTCCCCAGCTGACCATGCCCGGGCCCTGTGGGGGAGGCTCCCCCCTCGCCACACACACACAAGTACTGCGCTGTGACCGAGGCTCACTGCAAGTCAGGAACATCAGCTTGCAGTGAAAGGCAGTCCCTGCGGACTCACAGTCTCTCGGGAAGCTAGCATTTCTGGCTACAAAGAGGATGAGAGAATTTAATTCCCAGTGGCTTGACAAAGGGGTGGCCTGGTGGCAGTCCAGGCTCATGACACCATGCTGGGTGGGAAGGGGGCTCAGCCAGGGCCTGCACTGCTGGCCTCTTCCTCACCCTGGCAGAAAGGTGTGCCCCAGTCACTGGAGATCTGAGATGCTGCAGGGAACTCTGCTTGTGGGGGAGCCCAGGGTGGGTGCAGGTCCAGATGGCATACAGCCCAGGGCAGGCTGTGTTTTCCAGAGCCCACCAAGTCACCAGCTCTCTATGACGTGCCAGACCTCGCTGTGGAGGGGCGAGGCCTGTGTTTTAGCCCCTAGAGTACCAGCGAGGGGATGCTGTGCGGCAACAGAATCGATGTCATGAGAGGCCACAGCTTCCGCCAGCTCATTCTCTCAGGACGCACACCCCAGCCCTGGTCAGCTGTGCATGAACTGGCTGTCCTTGAGATGGCCCAGAGCACCCTACCTGCCAGGTAGCAGGGAGCAGATCCAGGGCAGGCTCCTCCTGGAGCACATGCATTTTCTGTGGTCTGGGGGCTGGGAGGTGGGAGGGCCCTGTGCTCCTAGGAGCACCGCCCCCATCCCCGCAAGCTGGTCGAGTCTCCACCTCACAGACCACATGTGCAGGGGAGAATGGGCCCTGCCCGCCTTCATCTCAGAGCCAGGCCCGACGGGATCCGTGTGGGGCCCAGTCTGTTGCTGCCAAAAGGGATTTGTGAGTCGGGCAATGACTGTGAGCAGAAACAGACTTAAATGCACTTAAAATGCCTCCCAGGTGGTCCCTGCTCAGGGCATGGCTGCTTTCATGCTCCTCCTTGTCACAAACACTTTTCAATGGGAAAACATATGGTCCCAGGTGGAGAATGAGGAGGTGGGTGCGGGCCCCAAGGGGGTGTAGTCTGGGGAGCCCACAGGCCTCCATGCTTGGTTTAATACTCTGCTGTCACTGTCCTGAAATCCTTCGTAATTCTAGAACAAGGGGCCCACATCTTCATTCTACACTGGGCGCCACAAATGATGCAGCCAATCCTGATGAGTGAAAGAGCAGACCCTGGGACAGGCCACCATGGGTGTAC